AAGATGAGAAAAGAGAAGATTCCCTGTGGGTCACAGGAGCTGCCTAGGAAGAGAACTGGGCCTTCAATGAAAGGTGGGGTTGCTTAGCAGGAGGGGGCGCCTTGGGCAGGGTCAGGGAGCGAGGTGCATCCCAGGACAATGAAACAGCGAGGAGAACTCGGGGCAGGTGGCCTTAGTGATCAGCCAGCACAGGGGTGCTGTGGAGCTCCCAGGAAGAAAAGGAGCTGGATTTTGGAGATTAGAATCCAGCATGGAAGGTTGGGCGTTGTCCTGGAGAGAGTGGAGAGCCATGAGAGGTCCCACCCTTTAAAAGAGGGGAGCCCTAAAGCAAGTGGTGAACTAAGAAGGAAATCCAGGTTCAGCACATTAATGGATCAGGCAAAGAGAACATTCAGAGTCTGTGGCAAGACCCCAGGCTGGGGCAATGAGAGCTTGAACTTGGGTGGTAGCAGTGGGAACAGAGAGGAAAGGGGAAGTCTGAGAGATGTGCAGCCTGCTGGGCTAGGCTCAGTGATGGTGACACACTCAAAAAAAAGCATGGCACCGGGCGCAGTGGCTCATACCCGTAATCCCAGCACTTTGGGAGGTCGAGGCAGGTGGATCACGAGGTCAGGAGTTCGAGACCAGCCTGGCTAATACGGTGAAACCCCATCTCTACTAAAACTACAAAAATTAGAAGGCGTGGTGGCGCGTGCCTGTAGTCCCAGCTACTCAATAGGCTGAGGCAGAAGAATCACTTGAACCCAGGAGGCAAGGGTTGCAGTAAGCGGAGATCGCGCCACTGCACTACAGCCTGAGCAACAGAGTGAGACTCCATCTTAAAAAAAATAATAAAATAAAAATAAAAGTGTGGGATGGGGAGGTTGCACCGACCGCCAAGGCTTCACACCAGGGGAACGTCATCGGGGAAAATGGGAAGCAGAGAAGATGGAAGTCTTGGGCCGGTGGAAGGTGCTAGGTGTGCCACATCTCTACCGAGAGCAGGACCCGAGCCTGGGAGGCACCTACTCTGTGTTCCATCTGAGACCCTCAGGTGTGATGAGGAGGGGGCATAGCTGTGAGCTCCTGGAGGGGTGACCAGGCCTGTTCCCCTGCTCCTCACCAGACAGTACAGTGCCTGCCTCACTGCAGGGTTCAGCCATGTGTGTGGAAGAAACAGGTTCTCAGAAGCTCACTGTCTACTTAAGGTGCTAACCCAGGAGGTTGCAGAGAATGACCTTGGGTTCACTCGCATTTCACTTCTTTAGAGTGGAAAAGAAAATGAGGAAAATAAAGCAAGTAGAAGCCAGGCACGGTGGCTCATGCCTGTGATCCCAGTACTTTGGGAGTCCGAGGTGGGAGGATCACTTGAGGTCAGAAGTTCAAGACCAGCCAACATGGCCAACATGGTGAAACCCTGTCTCCACTAAAAATACAAAAATTAGCTGGGCATGGTGGTGCACACCTGTAACCCCAGCTACTCAGGAGGCTGAGGCAGGAGAATCGCTTGAACCCGGGAGGCGGAGGTTGCAGTGAGCCAAGATTGCCCCACTGAACTCCAACTTGGGCGACAGAGTGAGACTCAGTCTCAAAAGAAAATAAAGAGTTGGTGGGTGAGGAGTATTCTTCTGGCAATAACTTACAGCCATGGCTCAAAAGCTGTGCTCTGAGGGGCTCTTGAGCCCAAATGAGAGGCCTCAAGATCTGTCAGATGGATGAAAAAAAAGTGGGCTCCATCCCTCCATCTCCACCTTCATCCATGGCACCTCAACTTTTATCCACTCTAGATACTCAGTAACAGTTTAAAATTCATTTAAAAAAAAAACTCATTGGTTTAAAAGAGAAAAGTAATTATAGTGACTTAAATATAATGTGCAAAAATTAAAATTAGACTGAAAAGGGAAATTGTCAGAGTACTGTGTCCCATCCCCGAAAATAATAGTTTGTAAATCATGTCCTTTGGGTGGATTTTTCCTGTGAACTCATCTGCCCTAGAAACAGTCTTTCCATAGAAAAGCTAGTGGATCCAAGCAGACAGAATGTGACAGGCTCTAGGAAGGCTTTTTTTTTTTTTTTTTTTTTAGACCAAGTCTCACTCTGTCACCCAGGCTGGAGTGCAGTGGGGCGATCTTGGCTCACTGCAACCTGTGGGATTCTACACCTCCAAGCCTGCTCAGATGGCATCGGGCGATGTTCCTCCTCGAAAGGCCCTGTCCTACTCAGCTCCATCCCGTCAGGTTCCTTTCTTGCAGACCCCAGGTCTTATTCCAGGGATCTTGTGCCTGCTGCCACCCCTGACTCTGAGACACCCACCAAAAGGGTCTGTAGCCACTCAGAGTCCACCTCCACGGCCTGCTTTAACTGGGCCCCCCTCCCAGCGTTGCCTTCCTCCAGAGCCTGGTTTCCATGGTGATAGCCCCCTCCTCTCCCTGGGGGTTCCAGCCAGTCCACAACTTACCCTTGGCCCTCAGATGCTTCCTGCACCCCACCTCCCCGGGGGCCCTCACCCAGTACCTCCCACACCTTCCTCCAAGAGGATGCGGGATGGAGAGAGACCGGGACTGTTAACCATTGTGGGTGCTTCCTAATAATGGACATCTCAGAGGGCTCGGGCACTGCTTCATTTAAGGCGCTCTCATTATAACCCCCTCCGCGTCCAGCTGACAACCTGATAATTCTCTCTGATAGCACAATCTTCGGCAGTCACTGCGGCTGTCTTGACTCTGTCCTTCTTGCAAGAAAGATTTTGAGATAAAAGGATGAGCTGTGAAATCATCATTAGAGTAAAAGGAGCCTAGAGAAGGAGCCCTTTCCGCCCACGCCCTCCCTCTCCATGCTTCCCCTCACGCTCCTCCCCTGCTTCCTTCTCTTCCTCTCCCTCACCTTTTCTCTCCCACGTCCTCACTTCACTCCTCTGCTTTCTCTCCAGTTCCTCCCTCCTCTCCTCTTCTCCTCTCTCATCTCTTCCCTCCTTTTCTACCCTGTTTTGGTGCCAGAAACAGTCTAATTACAACAGAGAGCTTGAAGAGACAGAGAGGGAAAAAAAAAAAACCCTACCATACATAGCTGATTAAAATGTCCTATGAAATCTAATTTGTAAAGCTCAAATCAGAACAAAAAGTGTTACTCCCACAATTCAAGGCCAATTGGATTTTTAATGAGACTCCTCAGAGACCCTGCCAAGCTCTCATCAGGTTGTGAACTCGGCCACCTTCCTGCCTGCCCCCAGCTCTCCACCGTGAAACTCACCCCTCCTTCTGGGGAGCCTCCACCCCAAGCTCTGCTGCCATCCAGGCTCCCCTGGGTTGATACACACCAAGTGTCCCCCTCTTGGGGTCATCTGTTGCTGAGAGCTCAGTCCTAGGTGTGGCCCAAGCCTGGGGCTTTTTGTCCCCAAGATGGGCAGTAGCCAGTGTCCAGGACCTCTGTGGCTGCCCCTGACTCTCCCAGGTCGGGGAGGAGAGGCCACAGCATCAGCAGCTGGCACGCCAGGTTCCATTTTGCCTCAATCAGGTCTGGGTCTGAAGAGCAGGAGGTAGGATAAAGGAAAGAGGGAGGGCTTGGAATGCAGATGGGCCCCTGCTGAAACCCCCGCTCTACCACTCATTAGCTGTGTGACCTTGGGCAGGTTACTGTGCCTCTCTGATCCTGGTTTCTTTGTTGTAAAATGGGGCTATTTCTGCTCTGAAGTATAATTAAGTGGATCACAGGAGAAGGGGTTGTGTGAAGCACTGGTCGTATTGTGGGCCAGATGCTCAGTGAATGTCAGCGTCCCATATGTCCATTCAACTGTGGACTCCCAGGAGACACAGATCACATCACACCTCCTCATCAGCAACTCCCTCCAAGGCCAGGCATGAGGATCTGCACATAGTGTATGTAGCTCAGTAGAAGACAGCATGGTCTTTGGAGCCAGAAAGATTTGGATTCACAGCACCCCCCACCCCCACTCCCACTAGACAGTTCCCTGGGCAATTCAGTTAACCCTGAGCCTCCGTTTCCTAAAGCCCTGTAAAATGGGGTTGACAATGCCCCATACGAGTGTTGCCACAGTGATAACTAGAGTCAGGGCATGTGCTGTATTTGGTGAGCAATTCACAAGCACAACTCCCGTTACTATTTTTCACCTCCCTGTGCCTCATTCCCCCATCTGGAAAATGGGGATAAAAATGGTGCTTACTGTTTTTAGGTTGTTATGAGGATGAAAATATTAATGAACTAATATTTTAAAGCCTCAAAATAGAGCATGGCATCTTAAAAGCATTGTGGGTGGGTTTGTTTAATAAAATACTGTCAACTGACTCTCTTCGATGGTTCTGGCCATCTCATTTTGATGTGGCATGGTGTTCCTAATGATTTTTTTCCCAAGTGATTGTGAGGCTGGAGTAAGGTCTGCTGCGGAAAAGAAATGGACAGGGAGGACATGGTGGGACAGCACACCTCCTCAGCACGCCTCCTGCCACACTGCACCACCACCCACCCCTCTGAACTTGGCCCTCAGCCCACCCCAGGAGCCAATGAAACAACAAAATGATTTCCTGAATTCTCAGGTTTAACCAAAGCCACACCACCCTCCATCGCCCACCTTCTTAACACACAGCCACCACAGAATGCTTCTAGCTAGAGGTCTCTCTCTCTCTCTCCTGTTTCTGCCCTGTGGAACTGTGTGCCCAGCACATGGCATTAAGTAGGAGCTCACCAATGCATGGGAAGTGGCACATCCCAACGGTGGAAGGAGATGGCCCATAGGGAGCTGGGGTGTGGCTAGACCAGTCCATGTGTTAGGGACTCATGGGCAGAGGGGCCGGAGCTGGAAGCCAGCTCCTCACAGGAGGGCATAGAGCTGGGGCTGAGACCAGTTAGGAAGTTCTACCAGACCCCCAGCAGAAAAGCCAGGTGATTCAGGAGGCTCAGTCTCCTGGGCCAGCCCTGCTCTGCTGCTCTGCTTCCATAGCTGGAGGGGAGCCTTCTCACCCCTGCAGCCAGCAGGTAACTGACCGTTGTGTTTGTCTCCTTCCCAGGTCAAGTCTATTCCTTCAGCCAGCAGCCCCAGGACCAAGTGGTGGTGTCGGGACAGCCAGTGACGCTACTGTGCGCCATCCCTGAATACGATGGCTTTGTTCTGTGGATCAAGGACGGCTTGGCTCTGGGTGTGGGCAGGGACCTCTCAAGTGAGTACCTCCAGACCTCCTGGGGCGGGCCTGGGGCTGTCACTCCCTTACTAACCCATCCGCCTTCCTAGGGAGCACCCATCTTCACAGGCATCTGGGTATCAAATCTCCAGCTTTCACTGCAACTCCTCAGGCAGGATGAGGTTAGACAAGCACTGCACCCAGCATCCCTAGACTCTGAGGGCCTCGGATGTGCATAATGAACCATGAGCAAACCCTCAGTCTAGCGGTGGGTCCTAACATAACTCGACAATGCCCTCGAGCATCTACTCCAAAGTCAAACATGATTCATGTAAAGTCCAGTTTCCAGAAATCAAGTGTTCCTGTGTCTTGGCCCAAGATGCACCCCCGCATTTATTAAGGCATGATTATTAAGAAAATACAAGTCACAACCTGGTTCTTCCAGGCTTCTCACCCATTAAAGGGAACCAAGTAAACTGAAAATTCACAAAGACACCTGGTTGATCTTAGGAGCTATCACGAGATGGGAAGAAAAGACAGGAAGTATTAAAAATAAATTTCAAACCATGTTCGGCTTGGGCAGGCTGGTGTTCAGCAAAGCTACCCTGGGGCAGGCAGTGAGGGTTCCGGTGGTTGTTGATGGCTGACATGTGAACTCACTGGCCAGTGCCGACAACAGATCATTTGTTAACTATTGTGAATAGCGACCCAGTAAGACTATACAGATGCTTTTCCAATCCATCCTCTTCCCTGGAGAAAAAAAACAATGGCTCCTGCCCCTGGTCACACACCCTTCAGCTATCATTATTCTGTCCTGCAGGTAGGCAGTGGTTGTTTGTTAGGCTTGGCATACGCAGTAAAATTCAGAAGGAGTGACCCCTGGGTGTCATTCCCCTGTGATTTGGGAAGAGCTGAGGGTGGAGGAGGAGAGAAAAATATTATTCAGCTGAGAAGAAACTTTGCGTCTCGCATGGTGTACGGCTGCAGGAAAATAAAAATCGAAATGTACTCAGGAACATGATGGCTGGGAAATTAATATTTTAAAATGTGAGTTATGTCTTGCCAAAAATGTATATTGAAACATTATAGCAATGGTCAATAGCAGGCACAAGGTTTGAATGCTGCAGCCCAGCTGAGCATGGATAAAATACACAAAAATATCTCCAAAATATACTGTGCTGCCATAAAGTTTAACTGTTATGGGAACCAGTCAATTTCAGAGACTCTGAACGCCTTTACCCTAGAGAAACTCGGGGAGTGATACAACCTTCCCAAACTAGAATAGTTGGTGCACTGGATGGCTCTGAGTTGGGGTAAGCACTGCCGCTAGTTAAGGAGGTTGTCTGAGGTCGCTGTCAGTGGGTCTCCAACTTCCGTCAGGGACTGGGGTCTTGTTGGGTCAGTGGCCAAGAGGAGGCTCAGGTCAGCAGGGATGGTGCAGAGGGTGGTCATCCCAGCACGGATAACTGACTCTCTAGCATCCAGTGGCATGAATGGCTTTCTGGGATCCAGGACTGGTACCTGCTCAGGGCTGCAGGACAACGGCCTCTGACGAACTGGGGCCTGTGTCCTCTCCAGCTTGACTTGGTTTGCCTCTCCGTACAGAGCCAACGACCTCAAACTCCTGATAAAATACTTGCCCTGTATGTTATCACTTGTCCCAAAAACAGCATCATGGCAATCATGACAGATACTTACATGCTCAATTAACTCTGCTCGCTTGCCTGATGTGGAAACAGGCAGGACAGCCCTCAACTCAATTCAGCAAGTACTTGTAGAGCACTTAACACTGCGAAAGCTCTCTTACAGGGAAACTGAGGCCCAGGGTTGTGGGATTTCAGCCTGCTACATCTCTGTCCTCTCCCACTGTAACCGTGTGGCCCCCCCTGAATCTCCCAGAAATGACACCCTCCCTGAAGTCCTAAATGTTTTTCTAGTCGCCGAAGCTGGAAAAAAGAGTCAAAGAAAATGATTTATAAACGCACTTCCTCATATTGATAGAACAGTTTTCTTCTAAGAAGCTCAAGTACTTCACAGACATTATCTCATAAATCTACAGTGATCCAGAGGGAGAAAAGAAGGATTTTCCCGTTTGTTGGACAGGTAAACAAAGTCACAACTGAGAAAGAAATTGACTCAACTCTATAACCAATCCCAGTGCATGAGACCTACCTGTTAAACCCAAAGGGCCCAGATACGCTGTATGCTCTCCCTTCTAAAGATGAAGACCTGTGTGGCCACCTGACCTCATGACTTACCTTTCTCTTCATTTAAATTGGCATTTATAGACCACTTACAATGTGCCAGGCACTTTACATAGATTATCCTATTTAACCTTCACCATAACCTTATAAGGTACTGGTATTGTCCCCATAAAATGGGGACTGCCACATAGTAAGTAGTCTATGAGGCACAAAGAAGTTAAAGTAACTCACCCAAGACAGCAGAGCTAGGAAGTGATCCAGCTGGCACTGGAACCCAGGCAACTCGACTGCAGAACCCAGACTCTAAGTAATTTTGCTTCCTTTGGGAGTAGCAAGAGAGAGTAATGATACTGTGGAAGGAGCTAGAACTTTCTCAGAATCCATGCTTCCGAGTCTGTTTTTCAAAGATGCTGCCAGTCCTTGGGATAGCATCACAGCTCGCTGCCTAATTAGGCAAATACAAACAAACCCATCACTGATGTTTTCAGCAGCTCGTGAGAGCAAAATCCTGCTGTTGATAGCTTGCAAGACAACAAAAACAGAAGCTCCAGCCAAAATGCCTGCAGGAGACCAGAGACTAATCACAGGATAGTGGGATCCAGAGGCTGGGCTGGAGGGGCTGGGGGTGGCCAGGCAGCTACAACGAAGGCAGCAGCAGCAGGGAGAGGATAGGGCTAGAACCCATTTCCAGCCCCTCTCCTGGCCCTCGGAGGAAGACAGCTTAACTCACCTGGGCTCCTTCCCAAAGCCCGGCAGAAGGCAGGAAGTGTGGGCAAGAGGAGAGGCCGTGCTCTCAGGGGTGCAGCCGAGGCCTTGTGAGCTTTTCTGGCCAGGCCTGCACAGCGGGGGATGACAGGGCCATTTTATTGCATGAGGAGGATGGGAGCCATGAAGACATGAGTCTGAAGGGCCCTGCTGCACAGGAAGCACTCCAGAGCATGGCTGGCAGAGGATCATCACGGCTACCTCCCCCGACCAGGAACGAGTGCTGGTGGCCCCTTGTCCAGCCCACCCCCAAGGAGACCTGCCCCACCTCCAGAAGACGCTTCACTTATGATGGTGAGAGGGGCCTTCAAGCTCATCTAGCCTGATCTTTCACCTTGTGTAGAAATCACCTCTGCAACGTTCCTGAGAGGCGATCATCCAACCTCTGCTTGAATACAGCCAGTGATGGGGACCTCACTACCGTCTCAGGCAGCCCAGATCCTTGTTGGATACCTCAAATACTTGAGAATATTCTAACGTATCCCGCCCCCCACCACATGTTAATTCTGCCTGTTGGTGCTAGCGTCGCCCTTGGGAGCTCAGGAACACATCTAACCCACACGAGAGACTGTTTGAAATACTTGAGGCAAGCTCTTGCAGGTCTCCCTGTCTGTCTTTGTTTCTGTCTCTCACTAGCTTAAGCCCTCATCTTCTCTTTAAAAGGCTGAATGTGTCCCATCTCATCCTCCCACAGCACCTGTCTGAGAACGCTCCCTGTGCTCGTGAGGGTCCTTCAAAAGGAGGAGCAGTCTGGGGCTGCCAGAGGGGAGTGGAAGCTGAGGGCAGCCTCTGAGGAGAGAAGGGAATGAGGACAGAGATGAAGAATGGCGGGGATTGGGGTGCAGTTGTAAATCCACACAGTGAGGGACTCAGGGGAGGGCAGAGCTCGGTGAGGAGATGGATGGAAAGTGGATCCTACTGGGAGAAAGTAGGGAGGTTTAGGTCCTGAGACCCAGGAAAAAGAGGATCTGCCCAACGTGGCCAGCCACGACTTCAGTCGGCATTTATTTTCAACCCTACACAGCAGCAGGAGCGCTGATTAATGATTTATATTCTCAAACTTTTATTTATCTCTTATTCATTGCCCATGGTACAAGGGGCCCCCAATTCTGAAGTGTCCTGAGCACTTAAGTGCGTCACCAGGCCCTGGGGTTTGTGGCGGGACATGAGGAATGATGAGACGGGGCCACTGTGGCTCCAAGTGACCCGAGGTTCCTGGACACTGGGAGGGTGGGCCTAGATTTCTACTTCCTGTCCGTCCTGAAACGAAACTTTTTGCAAAGTCACTCTTGATCCTTTTCTAAATATTTCTCTTTTTCCTTCCTTCTCTCTCTGACTGTCTTCTCTCTGTAATTCTCAGCCTGGGTCTCTCTGTCTGTCTCTCTCTCTCTCCACTCTATCTTATCAAAACGCATGTCTGCTCGGTAGACCACAGTGCTGAGCCCACCACTTTCCAGAATAATAACCCCGCGGTGTCTGTCCACACTTAGCGTTTCCATCTCTTCTCCCTCTTTCCTCTCTAACAGTGGCTCCTCTGATTTTCCTGAACTTGAAACCAACAAGACCCTTACATGGCCGGGCATGGTGGCTCATGCCTATAATCCTAGACCTTTGGGAGGTTGAGGAGGGAGAACTGCCTAAGTCCAGGAGTTCAAGACCAGCCAGGGTGACATAGTGAGATCCCATCTCTACAAAAGATTTAAAAAAAAAAAAAATTAGCCAACGTGGTGGTGCATGCCTGTAGTCCCAGTTACTTGGGAGGCTGAGGTGGGAGGATCACTTGAGTCTGGGAGGTGGAGGCTGCAGAGAGCTATGATCCTGCCACTATACTTCAACCTGAGTGACACAGCAAGACCCTGTCTCAAAAACAAACAAACAAAATGCCCTTATACACACACACACAGAGAGAGAGAGAGAGCGTGCGCCAATGCCTTAGGAAAGCTCTTGCATTTGTGTTCCTTGAACTGAGATCAGAGCCCTGAGCAATCACCTGCTCTGCCAGCCTTATAGAATGGCCCCTGCTTGGGTCCCCCACTCTGTGCCTCTTTGTCATGGGAGTCCCCTCCACCCCGCCCCAGCTCCCTGACCTGCCTGTTGTCTCCACAGGTTACCCACAGTACCTGGTGGTGGGGAACCACCTGTCGGGGGAGCACCACCTGAAGATCCTGCGGGCCGAGTTGCAAGACGATGCGGTGTACGAGTGTCAGGCCATCCAGGCCGCCATCCGCTCCCGCCCCGCACGCCTCACGGTCCTGGGTAAGAACCATCTGCACACGGGGCAGGGACACTACGTGAAGCACCAAGGGCTCAGCCCCAAGAGGGTATTTTTTTGGTCAGACATGGAGAGACTCCCCTCTGGGGATCATCCCACAGGGCTCCAGACACTGATGCTTCTACAAGGTCCATGCCCACCTTCCCACCCAAACGGGACAGGCGACGGCTCTTTCCCTAGGAAACCAGACAGCCAGTGCCAGCGGACTCAGTCCAACTCCAGTGTGTTTGATGGTGCCTTAGGCAGCTAATTAGGGCTCCTACGTGCTTATTTATTCCATCAGAAAGCATGCTTTGCACACGTTATCTAAGCCAGGCTCCTTGCCAGGAAGAATGTGGCACAGGCCGTGGGTCCCTTCTTTCTGCACTGACCCCCACTCCAGTGCTAATAAAGCCCTATGTGTCCACCTTCTCTGTAGAATCAGCGCGAGAGTCTCCCCATGATTCTAGTATCTATGTGGACACCAGTGACCCCCGTGACTTCTCCACCCCCCACTGCTCCCTGGGAATCCTGGCTGACCGGGCCTTCCTAGGAAAATTCATCTCAGGTCCTTATTCCAAATCCTACTTTTCCCCTTGGTCTTTCTTCATCTTATGTTCCCAGGAGCCCAGCGTTCCTGGATCATCCTACCTGAAGGCAGGGGATTGGGCTCGGTGACCTCTTCAACCACCTAGTTCTGATTTAGAGGTCAGTCCTGGGAGTCTCCTTCCTCTGGCCAAAGGTTACTGAGGATCGAGGCTGCTGGGAACCAGGCCTTGCACATAAGTCATGAGAGCTCACATTTGCCAAGCAGTTCACCGTAGCTCTCCAGGCTCTTTCACGCACTTGACCTCCACTGTTTCTGACGCTACTCGGTGGGACAGGGACTGTTACCCCAGGTGAGAAACCAAGGCCCACAGATGCAAAGGGCTTGGCCCATGGGCTCCTGGCCAGGGCTCCAGGACTTCACCTCGCTGCCCCCTTACATGAGAGTCTGTGCCAGGCACGCATACAGGAGGGAAGTGGGAAAGCCCGGGCCCACCCCTTAGCAGCTGTTGTGAAGGTTCAACAACAGGGTCAGCAGCTGGGGTGCTGCCTCCTCTCCTGGCAGCTAAAGCACACGGCTGCTCAGAGATGAAATATTTAAAAGCATGTCAGGTTATCTTCAGATCTACACGGCCAAAGACACCAGGGCAGATTATTCCAAGCAGTGCAGCAGACAGGCCCTGGAGGACCCCTTACCAAGCTCGGAGCTTGGCTTCTTGAGACACAGGGGAAGAACTTGGGGCCAGCCTCAGAAACCTTCTGCAACCTTTGAAATCTCCCCTGGCCCGCGATGAAAGGAATGAGAAAATCAACCTGTTCCGGCGGGGGTAAATAAGTTGGGATTCCATGGCCAGGAAGCGGGCCTTCCGAGGAGTAATTGGGGTATTAAAGGCAGCAGCGCCGTTCTCATTTCTCCCAAGATGGTGACTAAAATGAGAATGAGTCTGCCATGTGGTATGGGGGTTGTGGGAGGAGAGGAGGAAGAATTAGTTTCTGATTTTGAGGGTTGCAAAATGCCAGAACAGATTTGCTAAGTTGTAGGCTCCTCATCTTCAGAGATGGTTCAGCCCCTCCCTCCTCAGAAGAATCTGCCTCTACGGACTCATACACCTTCTAGAGGGGCCAGAGGATGCTGGAATCACAGGAACATGAGCATTGTCCACTCCTCTGACTTCACAGGGACCAAAAATAGATGGAGCCACATCTCATCCTTAAGGCTGTATCGACTTCCCCAGTCCCGACGTGATCACTACACGTCCTTTCCTCTCTGCTCTATGTTAGGTAACGAAGTCCAACGTATTAAAAGTCCAGATTATTTCAAATGTTTTACAGATGAGAGAATGGAAACTCAGAAAGGCAAAGGCACTCACAAGAGGTGACACAGCTTAATTAACCTTCAAAATCAACTCCAGATTTTTCAGCTCCAAGCTCTTTGCCTAGCCTTCTGTTCCCAGATGTCAGCAGCGCCTCATCTGTCTGGCTGGTGAGGGGCCAGTCTTCTCAAAGCAGGGCCTCAGGATCCAATCTGAACAGACCCGATTTTGTCTTAGGTCATGTCTAAAAGGCATTCGCTCCCCTTTCCTCTCCAGTGGCATGGCCTGACACCACCCTCTGGGCACAGAGCTGGGTTTGTGTGGGGGAGATGTTTTATTCAAGTCTGGAGATCAGCAGAAGGAGGGCAGAGGAAGTTTCCATGGTGCCCCAGCAGGGTCCCCTCCATGAAATTCCTGAGAGCCAGAAAGGGAGCCTGAGCCAGCATCTTGTCCATCAGCCTTTCAGGCAGCTCCACAAAAACCATTCATCCTGAACGAACTAAAACCCCAGGCAAGACAGTGCTTCCCAGCACTCTGCCTGTGGTCCTCCCTGACTCCCTGGGACACTCCCAGGTCCCCACCCCAGCTGGTCTTGTAGGGCTCCGCCTGGCTGAGTGTCCTGGGGTATAGTGCCCCACCTACTGCTCTGCAAGGAGGCCCCCAATGCAGCAGTCGACCCAGCCAGCTGGAAAGGGACCCCTGGTCTGGGGAAGTTAGATGGACAGAGCGGCTGTTCCCACAGAGGGAGAGGTGTTTCTGCCCCTTGGTCCAGCCACGTTCCCTACCAAGACCCCATCTGCTTTGCTGTGACATCTCAGCCCGGGAAAATGTCCCAGCCAGTTCCCCAAGGGGGGCTGCTTTCCCTGTGTTCCAGGAATGAGAGAGCTTCCTAATTTAGTCTGTATTTGCCTGAGATAGATTTTTAATTAAATAAAGTAAGAGCCTGATTAGAACCTGCGGAAGATGCGAGAGCAGAATCAGATGGTATTCCGGCAAAATTGCAAAGCAAACACTTTGGCTAGAACAGAGGGAGGCCCCCGGGGGTCTTCCATCAAAGTACCAAGTGAGGAGGGCAAATACGAGAGATTATATAGCCAACAGATGTGCATTGTTAAAATATGCATCTGCCGGCCGCGTGCTCAGATGAAGCCAGAGGGCCAGCTCGCAGAGCCGCCGGGCCCTAGGGAGGGCAGGGGACTCGGCCTGGCAGCCAAGCCTAGAGTCACAGACACATTAATTAGCGTTGTGTTTCCAGCTCTCAGATGCAATCAGGCAAGGAGCAACTTCGGATCTGAGCATTTGCTACCTCGGGAGGCAGAGGGAGGGAGCTAGGAAATGAGAAGAGAAAGACGGGGGAAGGCGTTGAGTTTGCAAAGCTGAGAGAGGCAAAGACTGGGGATTTTAGGTCAGGTCAATCAACGTTCAGGCTGCATGACCTCTGCGGCCCAGCCAGCTGCCAAGGACTCTGCCTCGACTCAGCTCGGGTCAAGACAGGCGTCTTTCCACCTGCAGAACATCTGGAGAATCACGGCGCCACGGAAACAGCATTAGACTTAGAGGCAGTGGTCTTGGTTCTACCAGTATCCAGCTGTGTGATGGTGGCCCTTGTTTCTCAACCTGGGTCTCAGTTTCCTCATCTGTAGAATGAGAGGTGGTGGTAAATAAGATGATCACTGAGAGCTATCTCGCTCCCAAAAGGCCATGACTTCCACTGTAAGGGGTCCAACAGGCTGTACCAACTATTTCAGGAAACTGGGCCAGCCCTCCCTGGAACTGAGACTGGCGCGGTAACTAAGGCATAGAAGGAAACTGATTACGGTGGTTTAAACAGCATCCCACTTCAAGGCTGGGAGATGGGACCTCTCCAAGTCCTGTTCAGCCCTGGGGTCCTGGCCCTGGCTGAGGACCTCAACCCTAGTCCTCCCTGCAAAGGACACCCCCCACCCCACCCCACTGCCCCTCTGTAGCCAGCTTCCACATAGACCTAGCCCTCTCCAAAGACTCAGCTTGGTTGGGCATCAGAGGACCCCAGTGCACCTGCGCAGAGAGAGCTGTGATGGGGTAGGAAGAGCCCTGGGCCAGGAAGTAGGATATGCTCTTGCTGCTCACTGACTGTGTGACCTTGGGCAAGGTCCTTAAGGCTGGAACTGGGCCTCTTTGGCTCAAGCCTCTATAACCAGCCCTTACCACAGAGCAGAATTTTTTGAATGAATGAATGAATGAATGAAGTTTCTGGTTCTTCATCTGTAAGATAGAGGGTTAAAAATACCAAAGTCATAGAATTGCTGTAAGCATTAAACACTCTGTCTCTCTCTCTCTCAATCACTAACAGTGAAGTGTCATACACTTTTTTTGTTTGTTTTTTTGTCTTTTGAGATGGAATCTGGCTCTCTCACCCAGGCTGGAGTGCAGTGGCACATTCTCAGCTCACCGCAACTTCCGCCTCCTGGGTTCTCCTGCTCCAGCCTCCCGAGTAGCTGGGATTACAGGCATGTGTCACCACACCTGGCTAATTTTTGCATTTTTAGCCATGTTGCCCAGGCTGGTCTTGAACACCTGACCTCAAGTGATCCACCCGTCTTGGCCTCCCAAAGTTCTGGGATTATAGGCGTGAGCCACCACGCCTGTATTTTAAAGCTGGGCACACACACATATACACACAGACGGCTCCTTTTTCTACCTGCAGGAATCCCAGGGTTGAAAAATATGGAAATTGTCCCAGGGCCAGAGTTGTAAGGGTGGCATTACACTTGGGAAGCAAGGTGTTGGGACATCCCAGGCAGGCAGCAAATAGGTACCAAGGATTCGATCAACAAATGTTTACTGAGTACCTGTTATATGCCAAGCACTAGTCTAGACACGTGGGATTCATCAGGAAACGAAAGAGAAAACCATCCTTGCCTTGGTGGAGCTTGCATTCTGGCAGAGAACAGGCGGTCGATAAGTGATGCACAGATTAAACCGTAAATTGCATTGCTGTGCCGGATGCGAGGTGGTAATAAATGCTATGGAAAGGAAAAAGTGGAGCACGATGGGGGGATCAGAAGTGGGAGGAGGGGGTGCTGGCATCAGATTAATTATTAAGAGAGCCATTTTTCCCAGTCTCCCTCCCCATTTCCCTCTTCTTCCTGGCGCGTTCTAATATT